CTCGGGGGCCAGGGTGACGTGCGAGCGCGAGGCCGGCGCCGCCGCCACGCGCCTCATCCAGCTCACCGGCACGCGCAAGGAGGTGGCGGCCGCCAAGGTGGGTGGCGCGACGCCCCGCGCCGAGCGCGGCCGCTTTGGCACGGGCCCCCCGCCCAGCTCTCCTCCTTCCCGCCGCGAAGAAGCTCATCGTGGAGAAGCTCATGGAGGACGAGACGCTTCGCAGGGAGCTGGTGCTGTCGGCGGCCGTGCGGGGCCAGCGCAAGCAGCCCCTGGGCACCCGGAGGGAGGCGGCGGCGCTTCCCGACGCGGCTCCCGAGTGCGGCGCCGGGGACGGAGGCGCCTGCTGGGACGAGGAGCTGCTGGACCCGCTGCTGGACGGGGCCCCTTCCGAGGACGGCCCGGAGCCGAGCGCTGAGCACGCGGCCCCGGGGGAAGCCGCTGCAGGGCCCGGCTCCGCCACGCCAGGGTTCGAGGGTAAGAAGCGCGGCCGTCGTCCCCGGCGCGTGGCGGGGCCCGGGGTGCAGCCGCGACGGCCCCTCGGGGCCCAGCAAAGTGAGGGGCTCGTTATGAGGGTCTGCAAAACGGACTCGTGTTCCCCCGTGCCGGCCCTCCCTGGGGGAGGCTGCGGCCGAGCCGAGGTCTCTCCCGCAGTCGGCAGCCCCGATCTCGGCTTCCCCGCGGACGAGCAGCTCGAGGTCTACGTCTCGGCCGCGGAGAATCCCAGCCACTTCTGGATCCAGCTGGTGGGCGGGCGCAGCCTGCAGCTGGAGCGGCTGACGAGCGACATGGCGCGGTTCTACGGGGGCGGCGGGCGCGCGGTGAGACCCCGGCCCGGCCGCTCCCCCTCGCCCGCAGCCCTCGGCCCTCCGCTCGGGACGCGACTCCGGCTCTGCTGCTCGTCCCGCCAGGCGGAGCTCGCGGCCGTGCAGACGGGCGACATCGTGGCTGCTCCCTACGTGGACGGCAGCGCCTGGTACCGGGCGCGCGTCCTGGGCACCCTGGACAACGGCAACCTGGATCTCTACTACGTGGATTTCGGGGACAACGGGGAGGCCCCGCGGGAGGCGCTGCGGGCCCTGCGGTGAGCGGCGGCCGCGCAGGCTCCGCGGGGCGCTTTGCCGCTCGGCTTGCGCGCGGGAGGGGAGAGCCGCGGGCGCTCGGGGGGGTCTGGGGGCGCTCGGGGGGGTCTGGGGGCGCTCGGGGGCCTGGGGGCGCTCAGGGGCCTGGGGGCACTCGCGGCTTTGGGGCGCTGGGGGTCTCGGAGCAGTCGCAGTGCGAGGGCACCGGCGGGCCGGGCCATGCCCTCCTCGCTGCGCCGACGGCAGCGGCATCGCCTGGGTTGCTTCTCCCTGCCAGGACCGACTTCCTGAGCCTGCCTTTCCAGGCCATCGAGTGCAGCCTGGCTGGGATCGTGCCCGTGGGTGAGTGCGGGGGAAAACGCCCCCTTCGGCCTCCTCCCTTCCCTGTCCCGGTGCCCAGGATGGAGCCCGCGGCACCGGGGCCGCCGCTCAGCGGCCTCTCCCGCAGGCGACGCGTGGGAAGAGGCGGCGCTGGACGAGTTTGACCGGCTCACGGGCTGCGGCGGCTGGAAGCCCCTGGTGGCCAAGGTGTCCAGCTACGGGCAGGCCGGGCCGCGCACGTGGCCGCGCGTCTCCCTGTGCGAGGCGAGCGGCGGGCAGGTGAGCGGGCGCGCGGCGCNCGCCGAGCTCGTGCGCCTGGGCTACGCCGCCTGGTGTCCCCACGAGCGCCCGGAGGCGGCCTCGCCGGTGAGCGCGCGCCCGGGACGCGGCACGGCTCGTCCCGCGGGAGTTGGGACGCGGGGAGCGCCGCGGGTCCCTCGGCCGCGAGGGCCGCCGCCGTCAGCCGGCAGTTCCTCCCCGCAGGAGCACGGCGCGGGGCTCTCCCCCTGCTCGGAGCATCGGAAAAGCCCCGAGGAGCCCCCGCCGAGCCTGTCCGGCGCCAGCGTTCCGGGTAAGCGCCGCCTCCGGCTGACGCACGCCCGCATCCCGACACCGCCGCGTCCCTCGGCACGAAGGGCCGCGGCAGCGGGAGGGCCCCGGGTGCCTTCGCTCCGCAGCACGTCGCCTCCGTCCCTTTTCTCCTGCATCTCGTCTGCTCGCCCTGCCCCGACGGGGCTGCTGCTTGGGAAAGGAGGGATGGCCGCTGCGGCGCGGGCGGCTCCCGGGTCCCAGCCCTTCCCCTAAGGGACGGCGAGGAGGAGGAGGAGGGTGAAGGCAGGAGCTCCCCGGGCAGGGTCAGCTCCCCCGCTCGCTGCCTGGGGGCACCTTTGCGGCCCCGTGCACCTTTGGAGCGAGGAGGAGGAGGAGGGCGGAGCGCTGAAGGCTGCAGCACAAGGCCCAGCGCAGGCCGGGTCCCGGTGCGGCGGCCTTGGGCTCCGTGTCCCCGGTGTCACTGTGGGTGCCGGCCCAAGGCCGGCGCTGCTCCGTTCCGGAGTTCATTCCAGCGCTCGCTCTGCGGGCCGCGCCGCTCCGCGCTCCCCTGGCGCCGTTTCCCCGCCGCGGCTCTAACCGCCCTGTCCCGCAGCGGGTGCCCCCGTGTCCGGTGGCGGTGACTGTGCGGGGGCGAAGGGCTCCCCGTGACCCCCGCAGCGGCGGCGGCCGCAGGTGAGCGGGGCGGCGCTCGGGGAGCTCCCCGTGCTCTCATTGCCACCCGTTCCTCCCGGTGTCCTTCCCCCCCACCCCGTTCTTCCCGGTGTCCTTCCCCCCCATTCCTCCCGGTGTCATTCCCCCCGGTTCCTCCCGG